TGATACTCAGTCACATCATCTAGTATCTTCAACCACCGATTTCTGTTGTTACGCGGATCCCAAATAAAAAGTCTAGATTTCTCTGTAAGGTTCACTCACACCAGCAGTCAGAAACTTCATGAACTAATGGATTTTTCGTCAGTCGGGTTGTCCCCAGCCTTTATGGAGCCTGAAACTACTTCTACCTACATTTGGCCACGAGGCGAACGGTGACTAGACATATGTGTAACACATACCTCAACTATTTGAGTCACTGACTTTCCCATTTTTTCTGAAACCCCACACATGACTACCACGTTGCTGACCTGGTGCCACCACAACACACGGCATATGCTACGAAGGCAACGTTGGTCGAACACTTGAAGCCCTCCAAATCCCTCTATCTTTAACGGTCTTGTTTCACAGCCGTGTAGTAGGGCAGGGTGCAGTGTAGAGCAGTAAACTTGTTTCTTGAGAGGTAGTTAGATATCTAGGTGACGCCACAGATGGCGTAGACTGACGAGAATCAATCTCATTGCTCTTATCTATGTGGGGATTTTGTCAGTCACTGAAGTGCCACAGCTTTTCTGACCTCTGAGGTAAGTGAAGTAATTGAAGTGCAATGGGTTCGAACCCCGTTCCACCTACCGGGTTTTTGGCAGCCAAGTATTATTATTAGTCGTCACACAATAGGTATGACTCACTGCCTAACGCACGAATGCGCTCAAGGTGGCTGAGTACATTTCGACTTCAAAGTACTTGACGCTGTCCGCCGTTTAACTCCATCCAGTTAAATAGGTTATGAGCGAAGATCAGTCCTGGAGGAACGATTTATATCTTGAGCTGGATCCCTAATATTCTCTGATAGTTGCTCACGACGTCCATTCTAAACCTTTTCAGTGTCTTTAGTTAGCACGAATATGTCATCTGAGTATTCTAAAGCTACTGGAAAATCTCCTTTGACAAGGTCACTGAGTGTAAAGGCAGACAAGGGGAAAATGTTGTACATCAGCATATATGTGATGGAAGGAAATTAGAGTGCACATTCTTGATCGACACCATTCGTCACACACAACTCATCGTAGAATTCAGCATATTTATGGGTTCAGATCACAGAGTTTTCAACAGAGTAAAGTACTTAACGCTCACATCTTTCAGTGAGAGAAGGAGGCGTTTGGCTTTGTCAACCGACAGGTGTTGTAGCAGTGTTTCAGTATGAAGAGAGTACCTAGGAAATATGTAACTTTGATAAAAGTTTTGTATTCGAACTTACGCAGCCGTGTAAGGGCTTATGGAGAGTTGTCATCAGAACTGAGGACAAGTAGTGATGACTATCAAGGATGCCCGCCGTCCCCGTTCCCGTTTAACTTCGTTATAGATGTATTAATGAAAATGACCTTAGGTATTACCGATTTTACTGAGACTGACCTACTCCGTGGAGGGTATGTGGTTGGTGTGGAGTGTGCATATGATGTCGTCCTGCTGGGTGAAAACGCTGACGAAATGCAGTGTCTTGTTAACGCGTTGAGCAGAAATCTGAATATGTTTGGCATGGGTTTTGCACCTGTCAAATGTAAGATGATACTGCAAGACGGGTGTGCTGCAACTGCTCCCACTTTAATGATAGGGAGTGAAGTGGTGGAATATATCGACGACATCACTCACTTGGGGAGTTGCATCAGCCTGAATGGGCTGCTTGGTGATGGAATCTCAGGTTGGATAGAGGTTGGTGTTGCATTCGCCAACTGGCGTCAACTCTGGCCCCAAATGGTGAGACATGTGACTCCCCACTGAAGGATGAGTGTACTGCGCTGCAGTCGGTTGTGTTCTTTCATACAGCTGTGAGGTATGGCTGTTGTAAGCAGATTATATGGAGAGATGACGGTTATTCGATCAGAGGTGTCTTCGTAGCATTGCTGGCGTATGTTGGAATCACGGTATGGAGAATGTGAAGGTTAGCCGAAGGGTCTTACTGGGTGAGACAGGCGAATTGGGTTTGTTAGCCTCCAAGGACTGAGGTGACTTGGCCATGTGTTGCGCATGCTGAACCACTGTGTACTTCGATGTGCTATGTTAGCTGAAGTTATGGTTGAGTTGGGAGAAGTCTGAGGGTGGCCAGACGGAGAAGTGGTATCAGTTCGTGAAGTGTCCGACTATTGGTGTAAGCTGTGTATGGGCCTTTCGAGGCGATAGTAATTAACGCTTGGATACCCTAGATGTGATCACGCAATGAAAATGTTATTTATTGCATGATGTTGCAAATTTTGTTTGTTGTGCATAATGACATGGATACAGTTCCAAAATGCAAAGACGGTTTATCTGGTTTTCTTTTCTTTCCTTTTTTTATAAGTGTAAGAATAGTTTCCATAAATCTTTAGTAGGTGCTGAGTTATTCCTGTTGCATGTATTCGGTTTTGATTCTATAGACAACGATTCTAGCATCAATTTCCGACCCATCCATGTCAGCTTTACTGTTGTCATTCTCTCCGATTCAATTGTGGGTAACTGCATTCATGTCCATAGCCGAGTTATGTATTATACTAAGGTCTACCAATCTTGAGGTGGCAAGTCTTTTGTGGTCAGAAAGACTAATTCACTCTGGCTTGACCTCACAACCACTACTCGGGATTCAGCAAACTAAATTATTTTACCTATTTGGGTCCACAAGATCTTTTAACCTATGAAGTTTATTTCTGAGTTTTTAAGCTTAAGTACTACTGAAATCCCAACCTTGTTTAGAATCCTACATGATATCTCTCAGATGCCTTCGTTGAACTTCAGTACTGCAAAGGTCTTGAATTCTGTCTTCACACTGTTTTCATTTTCATTTTTAACATCCGTGTTACTATTATTAGTCATTTTTTTCTTACTACTATTAATGGATTTACTGATTACATTTGGAAGGTAATTATTGATGGTTAGAGTATCAGTATCAGTTCATTAGCTGCTTCATTAAAGTTAGGTCTCCTTTCTACTTTAAAAGCTTAACTGAGAGAATGACAACCCACTTTGTTTTATTGTTGGCTAGAGATGTGCTATTGGTAATTTCATTATTCTAGGTGGATACTTTTCCTCCACTGGTTTATTCATTTTATTCAATTCTTTAAACGAAGTTGATTTCGCTTTATTGAGGTTGTCGACCAGAAGTTATTCATCTCTCTCACTAATTGTTTGCATCTTAATTCTCGAATATAACTGCGAATAATACGAATCTTTTTGAGTATTCTATGAATTTCGTCTTTAAGTACAGTTTATTGATACTTTCTATTTCTACTTTCACCTTATCTAATGGGATTGAAGCACATAGATGTAGAGATTTCGTAGATGATTTGATTTTAAAGATATGAAATGTTGAGTGTATGACGATATGTGAATGTAACCGCTATCTGTGAAAGCCATTTGAATTTAATGATTAGTCTTTGGATATGAAGGCCATATGTTTCACTGATATGAGTAAACCTTGAACACTATGTAGTACTGTAATTCCGTTTTAGTGATTTATTAGATGTATCATACAGTGGAAACAGCATTATTTACTGGATTACGTTCCAGACACAATTTATTGCCCGTAGCTATATCAAGATGGCCCCGCAACTTTGAGACGCGATGTATGTAGTTCTAATTTTCTAGCCTCCTTTGTGATATAGGTAGTAGGATTTCCATATATCTTGAAAAGGTACTTAGTCATTTCTTATAAGTTCTTCCAGTTTCCGCTATGTTTGTTAATATAAACAGACATTCGTTGTAACTTTAACTCTAAATGGTGACTTTTCA